ATCAACAGCTCCTACTTCTCCATCTCCTATAGTGCTCCTTCAAATCCTCTGTGGTAAGTCAGGCAATGGATAAGTCTACGATTGGAACTACTGCAATGTCTTATCTCAGGTATTTTCAAGCACTCCAATCCTCTCCGTCCCCCCAAAGACTCTTAAAAATCCTCCACGGTAACACAGTTCGTTGATTAATAAGCCTACCAAATAGAACTACTGTAATGCCTCATTTCAGGGCCTTTCAATCGCTCTCCTCTTCCTCTCCTCTACATCTTGGAAATTCTTTACGGTAGGTTACCCAATAAATAAGTCTGCCGATTGATTTTACTGTAAACTCTAACTTCAGGTTCTAACAACAGCTCCTACTTCTCCGCTTCCTCTAGAGCTCCTTCGAATACTCTGTGGTAAGTAAATCGCTGGATAAGTCTACCGACTGAAACTACTGTAATGCCTCATCTCAGGTATTCTCAAGCACTGCAATCCTCTCCGTCCCCCATAAAACTCTTAAAAATCCTCCACGGTAACACAGTTCGTTGATTAATAAGTCTACCAAATAGAACTTCATTCCAGGGTCTTTCAATCGCTCTCCTCTTCATCTCCTCTACACCTTGGAAATTTTTACGGTAGGTTAACCAATGAATAAGTCTGCTGAATGGCTTTACTGTGAACTCTAATTTCAGGTTCTATCGAAAGCTCCTACTTTTCCGTCCTCTAAAGCATCTTCAAATTCTCTGTGGTAAGTAAATCACTGGATGAGTCTAGCGATTGAAACTACTGTAATGCCTCTTCTCAGGTACCTCATTTCAGGGTCTTTCGATCGCTCTCCTCTTCGTCTCCTCTACACCTTGGAAAGTCTTCATGGTAGGTTAACCAATGAATAAGTCTGCTGATTGATTTTATTGTAAACTCTAATTCCAGGTTCTATCAACAGCTCCTACTTCTCCGCCTCCTCTAGAGCTCCTTCAAATCTTCTGTGGTAAGTCAAACACTGGATAAGTCTACCGATTGAAACTACTGTAATACCTCATCTCAGGTATTTTCAAGTCATGGTAGGTTAACCAATGAATAAGTCTGCTGATTGATTTTCTGTAAACACTAATTTCAGCTACTATCAACAGCTCCTACTTCTCCGTTCCTCTAGAGCTACTTCAAATCCGCTGTGGTAAGTCAATCGCTGGATGTGTCCACTGATCGAAACTACTTTAATGCCTCATCTCAGGTATATTCAAGTGCTCTCACCCTCTTCCCCCCCCCCCCTGAAACTCCTTCAAAATCCTCCACGGTGACAGAGTTCGTTGACTAATAAGTCTTCCGAATCGAACTACTGCAATGCCTCATTTTAGGATCTTTCAATCGCTGCTGTTCTCTCCGTCTCTCCTCCTCAAAACCTCCTTGGAAACACTTGCGGCAAGTGGATCAATGAATAAGTCTGCCAATTGAACTTACTGTAAAGTTCCAATTTCAGGTTCTACGATTAGATAATACCTCGCCTTCTCTAGAGCTCCTTGAAAATTCTCTGCGATAACATAGTTCGCTGATTGATAAGTCTACTGATTGGAACCACTGTAGTGTGTCATTTTAGGTTCTTTCAAACGCTGCTGTTCTCTCCGTCTCTCCTCCTCAAAACCTCCTTGGAAACACCTGCGGTAACTGGGATCAATGAATAAGTCTGCTGATTGATTTTACTGTTAACTCTAATTTCAGCTTATATCAACAGCTCCTACTTCTCCTCTCCTCTAAAGCTTCTTCAAATTCTCTGCGGTAAGTCAATCACTGGATTAGGGTACCGATTGGAACTACTGCAATGTCTCATCTCAGGTATTTTCGACCGCTGCTATCGTCCCCGCCTCCTCAACACCTTCTTGAAAATCCTCTGCAGTAGGTTAACCAATGAATAAGTCTGCTGAACGAACTTACTCGAACTCTAATTTTAGGTTGTATCAAAAGCTCCTACTTCTCCGCCTCCTCTGGAGCTCTTTCATACTCTCTGTGGTAAGTTAATCACTGCATAAGTCTACCCATTTAAATACTGTAATGCCTCATCTCAGGTATTATTAAGCGTTCCCATCTTCTCCGTCTCCCCTGAGACTCCTTTGAAATTTTTCACGGTGGCAGAGTTCGTTGTCAATAAGTCTACTGATTAGAACAACTATACTGTCTCATTTGAAGGTCTTTCAAGCGCTTCTGTCCTCTTCGCCCCCCATAAAACTCTCGAAAATCCTCTTGGTAAGTGATTTTATTAATTTATAAAGTCGTCAATTAGAACTATTTTGAGTTATTTCTTTAGTTCCTTTTGTCGTCTCATCGTCTACTCCACCTAAACACTACTGAAGAACACACCGCTTGCCACTAATGAAGAACAGCGATATCTTGAACATCAAAATTTGTATAGAATGTTGAAAGTTTGCTAATGTTAACATGGTTTTTACCAAAGATTTAGCCAAACGAAATGTTTCCCAGTTTTTTCTTCAATTCCACCACGAGTGACTTCAGTTCTCTTTTGTTCTATCTCTAATTGTTTCTTCAGTAGGCAGCTAGATTTTTTTCCCCAAACAAGTGATATCCGTTCAAATGACGGCTCTGACAGATGCAAATAAATAATAGAAATGCAAATGAGTTTTCGTTACAACTTCAACAGAGCATAGGTATGAGAATAATAAGAAGGTTGACAAGAGGAACTAAGGGAGATTTCAATTTCATTCTCTATTCCAAGATTTGTCAATGCTGATAAATTGTGACTGCAACAATGAAAGAGAAAAATATTTTGTTAGATTTACTCGCTTCCGATGCTATGGTGAAGCGTATAGCAGGAATAATTCCTGTGAAAAATGTGAAAGTGGGAGATGTCTCCATCGAGAGAAGCATAATGTAGAAAGAAAAGTTGTT